TGCCATGGTTGAAATCAATTCCCTTGTTGTTGTTGGGGTCATGTTGGCTAATGCTCCTCCACTGGTGGCATCCACCATTTTCATCACCATTGGTAAAAGACCTTCATAAACATTTTCTCACTTAATCCGTGTTGCGGACAACATGCGCAGAGTTTTTAAAATCGTTCATAATACTCATAAAGACTTTCTTCGGTCTTTTGTTGAATGGAAAGAATGCTCCTCAGTAACTCGCTTGCTTTAGCCGCTGGAAAGAACCTGTTAAGAAAATTTTGATTTATGTCAACCCATGAATTAACTGAATTTGGAGGTAAATAAAATAATCAATCTTTAGCCAAGTTGGCTAAAGAGAAAAAGAAAACTCTCAATTTAATTTGATCTTCTGTAACTCCCTCTGGTTTCATGCTAGTGCAAACCATGTGGAATTCCAACAAGTGTTTGTACGGATCTTCAGTGGGAAAGCCGTGGAAAGTGGGAAGAAGATGAATGAGTCACTTCTTTAATTGAAACGGAGTCCTGCCACTAGGAAAATTAATGCATAATGGCGTCTGAGTGACAGGTGTTGTGGCTAGTTCTTGGATTGTTTATTCTTCTTCTGCCATTAGGATTTGATTTTCGTTGTATGTGTTTGCTTCAGAGTTTGTTTCCGGGTTTGATTCTGTCTCTGATCTCAGCTCTTATTCTTATTGTCTTTTTCTTTTTTCTCGTAGCGTTTGTGCGTGGATTCTTCGTGCTCGTGCTTCGATCTTCGGATCTGGATCTACTAATTCACCTGGGTTTCTTCTGGTCATAAATAAAAAACTAGAAAAATAAATCATTACTTTATCGTAAGTCCCCGGCAACGGCGCCAATTTGATAACCATCATTTTGTTATTAAAATAATTATGTCTTCTTAATTAAATAGAAAGGAAAATGTAGTATAGAGAAGCAGGGTCGATCCTCAGGGACTATGGTTTTTGTGATTTAGTAAATATGTTTCTTGATTTTAGGAAAAGATATAACTACAAGTAAAGTTGAAAAGGTATAATAAAATTAATAATTATAAATAAAACGAAATAAATAATGAATAATGAATTAAAAATAGTAATAAAGATAAAATGGGGCTTTTAATTATTTAAAGAAGTATAATGAAACGAAAATTAAATAAACATATAAATAAAATAACTAAATTGGGATAAAAATACTTATTGTGAAAGCAGCCTCAGACTTCAGCTTTGCCTCAAATTCCTCGGATCATCGAAACAGATTTTTACTTCAAGATTAACGTCGGCTTAAAAGGACAATTCTTCGCTGCCAACTCGGATTGTGTTGTTTCAACAATAACTGATTCCAATCTCAGTTTCCTCTTAGCAAACAATTTTGCTAAATGTGTTCTCGGGAAGTTGAATATGCTTCAATAAGAAAATTCTTCTTCAAACGTTAACCATAACAATATCCAAACCAATGTCTAAATCGTTTTGATTTGAAAAGTAAGCTTAGAAAACAGAGAGAAAAATTTGAAGCTATTTAAGTACCTTACAATTCTCACGTTTGGAATTGAGCCTTCACTTTAGTCTTTGGCTTGAAAGAAAATTAGCTAAGCATGACCAAAGTCGTACTTAGAAATTGTTGAAAACGAAATTTAAAGAAAAATAAAGGGGTATGCGAAAATATAGAGAAAGCTAGAGAGAAAAAAAAGATTTAATTATCATATGAGAGAGATGTGTTTCTAGGCTCACCCTTAGAGGGTATTTATAGCCTTCAAATTCCTAAAAATAAGCTAAAGATAATTCCTAAAATAATATCTTTTATCCTAATAAAAAAACTTAAAACTATTTAAACTAAAATACCTAAAACAAAGATAAACTAAAATAGTATTTAAAATAATATCCTAAATCCTAATTGAAATTCTAACATCTATTTAAACTAAAATATAAAGATAAAATATAATGTTTAAAATATTATCATAAATTTAAGTTCAATCCAAAATCGTATTCCAGAAACATGCGGCCAATTCATTTGTTCTTCTAGAAACGTTGATTGGATCTTATAGAAGATGTTGATGTCATTGCCTCGTCAGATGTTTGTTGAAAATGAAATTTAAAGAAAAATAAAGGGGTATGCGAAAATATAGAGAAAGCTAGAGAGAAAAAGAAGATTTAATTATCATATGAGAGAGATGTGTTTCTAGACTCACCCTTAGAGGGTATTTATAGCCTTCAAATTCCTAAAAATAAGCTAAAGATAATTCCTAAAATAATATCTTTTATCCTAATAAAAACACTTAAAACTATTTAAACTAAAATACCTAAAACAAAGATAAACTAAAATAGTATTTAAAATAATATCATAAATCCTAATTGAAATACTAACATCTATTTAAACTAAAATATATTTAAACTAAAATATAAAGATAAAATATAATGTTTAAAATATTATCCTAAATTTGAGTTCAATCCAAAATCGTATTCCAGAAACGTGCGGCCAATTCATTTGTTCTTCTAGAAACGTTGATTGGATCTTATAGAAGATGCTGATGTCATTGCCTCGTCGGATGTTTCATGTCCTAATTCATGCCCACTAGTCCAGCTTTGATTCCGAAAATTAAAAACTGCAGAATTTTGTTTTTTTAGTGCAATTTCCAGAATCTGATGTCCTGCACAGAAAATGAATGAAAACGAACAATTAAGCCACAAAAACCAATAATTAAGGAGTAATTTAAAAGCAAAATATTAACTAAATTAAGCACATATCAGTCAGCCTCACAATTTTTTGAAAAATAAATACGAGTCTTGGATATAATGAATCAATGAACAGAACAAGCACAAGAATGTTCAATAATATCTTTTATCACAACTTGATCCATGAAAACCTCGGAAAACATGACCAAATTATCCGCAAAAAATATATGAGATATGTCCGGGCCATTTCTTGAGAGGTGTATTTATTTCCAAACCCCATTTAAAAGAAAAATATTAACTAAATTAAGCACATATCAGTCAGCCTCACAATTTTTTGAAAAATAAATCTGAGTCTTGGATATAATGAACCGATGAACAGAACAAGCACAAGAATGTTCAATAATATCTTTTATCACAACAACTTGATCCATGAAAACCTCGGAAAACATGACCAAATTATCCGCAAAAAATATATGAGATATGCCCGGGCCATTTCTTGAGAGGTATTTATTTCCAATCCCCATTAGCCACTCACCTATTGATATCATGTGATAGTCTCTCCATAAAAAGCACAAAATTGTAGGGGAAAGGGGTCCCTTGCTGCATGCCTTTAGTTGGTACGAAGCTCTCAGAAACCTCACCACTCCAATTCACCTGTGTGGAAATAGAGGTCGCGCACTTCATTATCCAAGAAATAAACTTAGCAGGCAGTCCCACTTCCACTAGTGTTTCCTCTAAATTCCCACTCAAGTCTATCATAAACCTTATTTAGATCTACCTTTATCGTTATCCACCATTTCCTCCATATTTTCCAGTTCATAGAATGGATCACTTACTGGGCAAGAATGCTATTGCAGTTAATGTTCCTACCAGGAACAAAACTAACAAAACTAACTTGATTCTAAGACACCCAATATAGCAACAACGACTTGAGACGGTTAACCAGGATTTTGGTAATAATTTTGTAAGGAATCGTGCACAGACTGATGGGTCTGAATTGTGAAATCTTCTAAGGAACCTCGACTTTAGGAATTAGTACCAGAAGAGTTTTATTAGCATCCTCCGGTAAAACTCCAATGTCAAAAAAATCCGAAACAAATCGAAAGATACTATCTCTTAGGGTGCTCCAATTCCTTTGGAAAAAACCAGTCTGGAATCCATCAAATCCCAGAGCTTTGGATGGATAATTGTGAAAAGAGTTTTCCGAACTTCCTCTATATAAGTTGTCCGAGTTAAGACATCCAACCTTTCATTAGGGAATTGCAGAAAACCACCCATGAAATCTCGCCCCGTAATATGTCTTGTTTCAAAAGAAAACAGATTCGCGAAAGAGGTAGCTACGTGGTTCTTAAGCATAACTTGGTTATCACACCACATACCATCCTCCAATTGTAGCATTCAAATACTGTTACGTCTTCATCAATTCCTAGCCGTGGCATGAAAATACTTTGTATTATGATCCCCTTTCGTAATCCAACGACTCCTAGATTTTTGGTGCCCCAAGCTTTCTTCTTGTTCAATGACCAAATCCAAAACTTTCTTTTAGAGTCGTATAAAGATCCAATAAGGAGGAATCAGACTTCTCAAGAGCAACTTCAATACCCCGTATTTTTGCTAATAAGAGTCTTTCGTTTCCCAATATGACCAAAAACCTCATTATTCCATTGGTGGCTTTTACCTTTAAGGTATATAAGCTTATCGAATATGCGGTCCTTACTGTTCCAAGAATTAACGAAAAACCTCTCAAAATCAGGATGATAAATCCAAGCATCGACAAAACGGAAATGGCATTTTTATAGCCCAAATTCGACCTCTCGGTAGACATGCATATGAGCTTATGATCCGATCCCATTTTCGTAAGATGGTTAACTTCTGAAGCATTAAAATTATCCAACCAACTTCTATTACCAACACATTGATTAAGCCTCTGATAAAGGTTTCCTCGTTGCCAAGTGAACTGTGGGTCATTGAATCCCATATCAAGGAGCTCGGATTGGAACAAGAAATTAAAAAAGCGAGGGAAAACCCTGGAACTTGTATTAGAGCCACCCTTCCTCTCATTGGAATCACATATCATCACTAAATCACTCGAGTTCCAAGGTGGCAATACCCTAGTCGAGTTTTTTTATGCATCGCATCGACCCAGTCAGCTAGGATCTGTGTAGACACTACATTCTGTCTGGGTTTCTTATTTATTTACATTTTTTATTTAATAATATTATATGGTTTATTAAATTATAAATGTTTTTATTTTAATTGTTAAAAGTTGGTAATTGTTAATGTAATTACGCTTTAGGTTAGTGGTAGTATATTAATAGGTTACATGTTAGATAATTAAATGTATATACTGATTTTTTATATGTTTTATTTTATGTGTTAATAGGTTACACCGCATGGCCCAAAGACTAATTACAGGACCAAATATAACTCAAGTCTACAAAAGGCCCAACTTAACAACCCAACATAGCTAGGGTTTCATCATATCTCCACAGCCACCGCATTTTTCCAGTCGTTGGATTTGTGCTTGACCCAACGACCCAGATGAAAGGTGACTAGGTTTTCTGAAACCCTAAGCTTGCCGCGCCGCCGCTAATGTCTATTCCTATCACCACCGACGTGGTTTCTGTCATCTGCTCCCAGTGCCACCACCGTCATTTTAGCCGACCCTCAACACATCAATCAGTTAACAAAATCAGCAAAAAAAATTATATTATAGCCAAAATTTATTCGGATAAGCAAAGAAAACCCCGAGAAAAATGTGAGACTGTCAAACGCCGAAAATAGTATAATCATGCCCTACTACACACTTTCTTGATAACACCAAAACTCACCATCAAACATAACATGCAGCAGGCATAATAAAGAGATGAAACTATTTTCAACCAAGAAAAAAATAGAGGAAAAACAATGATTCAAAGGAGAAAGAAAAAGAAAAGAAAGAAGAGAAAGAAAAAGTCTTACCTTACAAGAAGTTCATCGTAAAGCCTAAGCATCGCCGAAGAAGGAGTTTCGTCCATAAAGAAACGAAGATAATCGTTCGAAATCCTTAGATCTAAGGCGAGGGAGTTATTTTTAGTGGATTGATAGTTTTGTTTTTTGGATTTAGCAGAGAAAGGAAAGCATTTTAAGGTAGGAGTTATGAACTTCGAACACTGTAAGCGACGGCTGGGTGCTCCAGTGAGGATAGGTCATACTTTGGTGAGAGGGGAGAAAGGATTTGAGAGATTTCTCTCAATATTTTTAGAGAGCCAGAGTAAAATGAACAAGTCTTAAGGGTTAGGGCTCATTTTTAGGGCTTTATATCAAACCCAAAACAATGTCATATATCACTCCCCTCACCCGTGTTTTTGAGACTTTAGGGGGTAAATTTAGTTTCCGTCATTCGTCATTTGTATCCTTTTGTTCTAATCCTAAATGAAATGGAATATTGTTAATTTTGAATCTTGAATATTTTCATTTTTACATTTTTATCACCATATGCTATTTAAATATTATAGTCAAATGCTTGATTTGAGTTTGATAATTTGAGATTTGTTTCATTTTAGTCAATATGTTCGTATTACATTCGAAATTGCTATATTTATGCTATTAATCCTCATAATGTTGTTTCATATTCGTTTTATTCATCACCCATGATTAGTTATTAAATGAAATGCTAAGGTTAAATGTTTCAATAACACCGTGTATGTTTTTTTTGTTTCAATTTAGTCCCCGTATTATTTTGTTTGTCTTTATTTCATCTTATTTTATTTTTATAGAGTATAGTAAAATTATATATACTACTTTTAATGGTATATTAATATTTTTATATAATATCAAATATGTGACATATTTATATATGTATTTCTGTGAGAAATTTATGTATGTTTTTTATTATAAATGGATATTTTAAATATTGTATTGGGAACTTATATTTATATAATTTGTTTTTATCAAATGTTACAAAATTCTAAGATTAATTATTTATTAAGTATTCGACTAATCTATGGAAGACCTATAAACACCTGTAGTGCCCTTCCTATATTATTCGAATGAAAATAATATTAATATTAGTATTTGTTGTTTATCTATATTTATGTTACATTAATTTAATTATATATATATATTATTCACTTTAAATGAATGTAAAATTTTCATACTTTCATATTTTTATCATGAAATTTTTTAATAAATAGATATTTATTATCTATTTTATTTATTTAGTTCTTGTTATTTTTCAATTTATTTAGTCATTTATTATATCATAATTTTCTATCTATTTTGTATATGTTATTTATTATTGTTGTATCCATAAATCATGCATTGATTTCCTCATTTTATAAAATATTCAAAGACAATGTTATTTTGTGTAACAAAATTACATCCAACATAACTAGTTTTCGTTAGTTCACATAGTAAGAGGGCATCATTCTAAAATAAAGTTGAGTGAATTAAATCATTTTATCAAGTCAATTATTTTTTAAAGAAATTACAACCAATCAATGACTTGGCATTCAGGTATGCGTTAGGAGCGAATAAAATGGGGCAACTAGCACATGAGATTACAAAACTAATTGGTTTCTATTTCTGTTGACGACGTTCAATGATGATGATAATCTTCACAGATGGAATGGTTGAGTGGGTGAATCTAGTTTAGGTCAATTGCTTGGAAATTGAACTCTAATGATGAGATTTTTTGACCTTCAACAAACACCTTGACTATAACAGGTTCTCCTTGACAAGCCTAAGAAGTGGAATCCGTAAACAAATATATGTGTGTGTGTTTGTACAATAAAGTTGAGTTATTCTGCTAAAGCAATTGGTTATATATATATATATATATATATATATACACACAATAAAGTTGAATTCAACTAGCTAAAAAATGGCAAATTAAATCAAATTTACTAAACAAAGAGTTTCGATGAATATGGACTAAGGGAGTTGAGGAACATCTGTTATAGTCAACTTCACACGAGTACTCAAAAATATCATTTTTATATTGATATTTCTGCACTACCTTGGCTAGAAGAGCATGCAAAGCTCGAACAAATGGACAATATCATTGAACTGAAACAAAAGTGTTCTAAAGAGTCTAGCAATTGACCATGCTAGTTGCGACATTTTGTCCGCCTCCGATCAAAATGCCAAACCAGAAAAGATGGGCATGCTATGATTTTCACGATGACCTAATCGATAAAACCAACCTGTGAATTTAGGTAGCCCACCTCTAAACCAACCTTTCGATCTTGATATTTGTCAAAGATTTGCAACTATCAAAGATTAAAAAGAGCAGCTGGTTCTTTTTATATCTAATGAACTCCTGCTTTATGATTTGTTTCAATTGTGAAACTTAGAAGGGGGCAATTTTTCTTGACATTTTTCAAAATTTTGAAAATTCAAAGGAAGAAAAACATTTTCAAACAACATAAGTTCTCTGAAAGTATCTTGGAATTCAACAAATACCTCTCTCAAGCTCAAGATCGAAACTGGGGCAAAGGAAGCCAATTTTTAGGGCAAAATTTGATGGGGCAAGAAAAATAAATTGTCTCAGATCAAGGTTTTCAAGAGTACACACTAGTGGAAGTAAAGAAAAACTGAATTAGAGATAGAATGAAGACTTCTCACACAATCATTCCCTTTACAAATTGAGAAAACATACATCTACACATACATACATGATACATGAAATTTGCATCTTTGCATCAAACATGAATAATCGTGTGCATCAAATTTTCAAACACATCAAATAAACTTCATCATGACACCCATAAACATCCAAGATAATCATCCATAAATGTATCATTGATTTTTTAGGAAACAAAGGTTTGGAAATGACCAAAGGTATCTAACCTGAAGAAACAATGATTTGACTTCCTGAAGTCAACAATCAGATCTTCTGAAGACCTTTCCTACACATGCAGGGACAAACATATTGGTTGTCACCTTTTAGACAATTTCTTTTAAAAACAAATTTTGTCTCGCTGGAGACAATTTTCTTAAAAACAAATTTTGTTTCGCTTGAAACAATTTCTTTCAAAACAAATTTTGTCTCACTTGAGACAGTTTCTATCGAATACAAATTTCAAAGTTGTTTTACTTGAAACAAAATTAATCTCGCTTGAGATTTTCAAACCGATTCGTCTCGCTTGAGACAATTTCCCCTTTAAACACAAATCCTGAAATTGTTTCACTAGAAACAAAATTGGCAAACTTTGAGATTGTTTATCTTGAAACGAATTTTGTCTCTTGAGATAGTTTCTCTTGAAACACAATCTTTGAGTCTTTTTCTCTTAAAACAAAATTTTGTCTTTCTTAAGATATCTTCTCTTGAATGATCATCTTTGAGTTTGTTTCCCTTGAAACAAATACCTAAAGATGGCATGTCTTCCTCATCGCGTAGGAACCGTGTCATCCACTGACCAGACCTTCTCATCACGTAGGAGCCGTGTCACCCCTAGATAACCAGTCGTCCTCATCACGTAGGAACTATGTTATCATCCCTAAGATGGCCTGAAGTCCTCAACACGTAGGAACCATGTCATCCCCCGACCAGAACTCTTTATCACGTAGGAGCCGTGTCACCCTTAGATAATCAGTCGTTCTCATCGCATAGGAACCATGTTATCTCCCTTCCTAAAGATGGTCATTCGTCCTCATCGTGTAGGAACAGTGTCATCTACTGACCAGATCTCCTCATCATGTAGGAGCCATGCCACTCTTAGATGACCAGAACTCTTCATCACGTATGAGCAGTGTCGTCCCCAACAAAAAACCATCAAATTTTAAACCAAAAAAAGAGAATCAGACAAAAACTTGTTGTATTTTTCGTATTTGCTCTATTCTTGTTAACATAGGAATGTGCAAAGAGGGGCAGCTGTAGACACCCGTTTTTGTCCGGGTCTCGAAAAAAGGTTATTAATTATATTATTATTATTAATTATATTATTTTTATTACTAATATTATTATTATTATTACATTTTATAAGCCCAATTACAGGCTCAACCTGAAGCCCAACAACTCATTACAAGCCCATCACCAAGTCAACCCAATTACAAGACTTGACCCAAGATCCAGACCCGATCCATACCCAATCTGACTTGACCTGACTTAGTTAGGGTTTCAAAACCCTAGCTCTAATCTGACTGCCACCAGTGAAGTTGAACAACCCTCACCGGCGTGTGTGATGCATGCACTCCTCCAGACCGGCACGTGAGTCGTTGCTGAGACATCCTGAGCCGCTGTCATCACCAAAACCTGTCAAACAACAACCCAAATATCATCTAAAACAAAGGAAATCACCCAAATCAGTAGAAACAATACCAAATCCAAATCCCAAATTAAATAATACCCTAAAATCTCCATAAATCAGGAAATTTATCCCCTACCCATAGCCACTCATGACTACTAAACCAGCAACTATCACCTTCATTAAAAATCCATCATGTATCACCATAAAAGGGGGGATCTTTTTGAAGAGAAAAAAATGGAGTGAGAAAAAACCCTTAAGAACATAAAAAAAAGGAGAGCTAAACCATTTGAAAAAAAAAACAAAGAGAAAGAGGGAAAAAAACTTAGCTTGCATGTCCTTTGTTTGAAATCATTTGTCATCACTTCACCAGAGCCAAACCTTTCGATAATCAGAGGTATTGTTTTCGAATTGCTTAGATCTAGGGTTCATGTTTCATTATGTTGAGGCTCGATTTTTGGTAGGGTTTGAAGAGAGGGAATTTAGAGAGGCAAAAAGGAGTCATTGACCTCTCGTTGTGGATTGTTGGAGAGGGTGGTCGGAGTGAATAGTGAAAAAAGAAAAAAAAAAGTGAGAGGGGACGAGAGAGAAGGAAGAATGACTGAGAGGGAAAAAGGGGAAATGAACTTAGGGTGTGTTTGGTTGGGGGGATGTGAGATTCCATGGGAATGGAATCCACATTCCCTCGTTTGGTTGGCCGGGAATGTCATTTCCGGTAATCTTACATTACCAATAGTGGATTTTTTGGGGTATATTACCGGGAATGTCATTACCTCCCTTTCCTTATGTATTGTTGGATTACCGGCGTTTTGGACTTAAATTTTATATGAAATTCAGGGGTTAAAATAAATTTTTACCCTTTCATTAAACCTTTTTATATTGTCAATTTTGTAAAAAAATATATATATAAATTTTATGAATTTAAATTTTTTAAAGAAAATATAAATATTTTCCAACTTGTTAAAAAAACAAATATATAATAAGGACAATTTGGTCAAATATACATTCTAATAATCTTTTATTCC